AAAGTCCCCTTGGAAAGTCTATTTTTTAAAGTCTTTCTACCAAATAACCTGCATTTTCCAAGCACCACATTAAAACCTCCAGTGAGTAGTCTGCAAAAAAGAAAAATGCTAGAATGGAGCTCTTCCCACGGCCTGGATTTCATTTCAGAAATCCAGAACGGGCCTTCAGCCACATTACACAGCAATGGCAGTCAGCGTGCTGCTCTCAAGTTAGAAACACATTGCCTTGTAGCTTATTCCAGCTCTGAGCATGCATTTGCTGCTGTGCTCCACTTCCCCACTCGCTTGCTTTTTTTTTTTTTTTTTTTTTTTGCACAGTCGCTCACACCAAACAAACAGAAAAGGTCTAGCTTTTCATCTGTTGCCTGGTAACATAAGTACCCGATAAAAACAACAGGAAATATTTCACCAAATTCTGGTAAGAGAAGGAGGTAGGGAGCCCACACTTGCCGTGGGATGTGATGACTTTGGTCGGCAGTTTCCTAAGTCCTTCTCAATTCAATACACACACCAAGAAGGAAAGATGCCACTTTCTCTTGCTATTGATCGGATAAGGAGATTTTGAAAGCATAATGTATACAGTCAATTCAACTTCACTCAAGAATATTTGTGGGCACATTGTAGGTAACATAGAGGCTATACAAATATGCGACGTGCCTTATTTTTGTCTGAAATCACTGGGCTACTATACTTCATATATGAAAATATGATTATTTTAACTCCTTTGAAGACTCTACATTTTTGTAGAGTCATTGTGTGCGGTACTATTACCTAAGGCTAATTTTCATAGAAGCACATTTAGCAGACATCCCACTAACCTCCCCCTTATCCTTCCTTTCCCTCCCAGCCTCCTTCTGTCCCTCTAGGTGCTTTCTCTTCTACTTTTATATTGCAGTTTTATGCCAGAGTATCTATATACACTCTAGAAATCACAAAGCCAATGTCCAGCATTTGTCCGTCAGAGGCTGGCTTGATTAAGGGTGTGGTGATCTTCACTCATTCATCCTCTGGGCATACACCTTATCCAGACCCCCACCATATCTTAAGTCCCACCATGCCCTTTGCAATTTTAGCCTTTATGTCTAAGTAGAAAGATACTACTGAGGGTAGAATGAAAGTTTATACTCGGTTTCTTAAAAGCTTATTTACACTTATAATGATGTAGGGGAAAATAACAAAATGTCTAATACTCAGAATAGAAGTAAAGAGGGATCCACAGAAATGGCTTAAAAGGCCGGAGAGTCCTTCATAGACCGATGGTAAGACACTATTGTCTAATTATAGCCCCTGTAGTTTGGGGTGCGGGTGTAGACACAGTCCTATTATGCCAGTGTTAATTGAAACCATGAGAATGTATCTCTTTGGCAGAAGAGCTATTAATTTTCATGGTGCATGTAACCACTTGTGCATTTCTTAAGCACCATAATAGACTCCACCCTTCTAGGCAAAACTGCTGCTACAAGCAGGTAACTAAAAAAATGCATCATGAGCCATGTAGCGGCAGGCTACTCGTGAACCGTCTGTTTCTAATGAAGAGGGTATCTCTGCAATTGGGATCTTAAGGCTAAAAGGAGTATGCTGACACTGCTGGGTCCAGCGAATATGAAATGAAGCAAGGAAAGAGTCCTTCATCCAAGCAGTGCTCTTCTCTGGGAGGAAGGAAAGCTTGCTGGTACTGACGGCCCTCTCGATGGCTTTGTGGTAATCAAATCACTGTTCATCTTGGAGGTACAAAAGAGGTCTGGAAAAACAAGGTATCCACCCACGAGAAAGTGAGACCATCTCTGAATTAAGCAAGAATTCAGGGAACAGCCCCAAGGGCCAGGATGCTTCTGCAGCTTGCCTTTGTAGCAAGTGGCTTGGATCTCCTCAGTGGGCAAATAAATTCCCTACTCTGAAAGGCTTTTTTCAGGTTAGAGGGCATTGATTTTATGAAGCACCAAAAAAACTACATATGTTAAATTGTTCTCCTTGGAAGGAGAACAATATATAAACTGGTAGAGAACCAAATTATGAGTTAATCATATCAATTTTCTGCTTATTTGATTTAAATTATACATTTTTAACAGTTAGGTCATTTACTACATTCCCCATACAGCAAATGTTTAAATTCTGCTTAACTGGGAGCTACACTCCAAAAATTAATACAGTAAATATTTTCCCAAGTCTGCAACAATACCTGGCATACTGCTACAAAGAGACATCCCATATAAGATAGATTTGATACAACTCTGATTTTGGTTTCTTTCGATTTAATACCTATGTGTTTTACTATTGTAATTCAAATAATACAAACCAACTTAGTTGAAGGTTGTGGTTTTAAAATCAGTCCTTAAGTCTGGAAGCTTTTCAATAGTGAAGCCAAAATAATCCATTTATTTATTTGTTTATTTTCCAGTTACAAGCATAACATTTAATGTAGCTTGATGATATTTTTTAACCAACTGGCAAATAACTTTGCCTTGTGTAAATTATGGGATATATCTTGCATTCACTATATTCCCATTAAACTATAAACATTTAGGAAGTCATAAGTAAAAAATGAATACAGAAGAGAGCTCAATTCTGAAACAACAACAACAAAAAAAACCTTAAGAAGTTATGTTAAAAAGTAGCTTTTCTTCTTGCCCAACTAACAGGAGTACCTACATTTGGTTAAAGTAAAGAAAGTTTTTTTTTTTTCAAACACTTGCTTAGGGCGGTATGTACACTCTAATTTTTCTCTACATAATGTTCACATAGCACACAGGTAAACATGTATATACAGGCATTTACAGCACACATTAGCTCCTTCCTGTCCATTCATCTCAGGATGAACATGGAGAATTGCTAAAAGTGGGCAAATGTGTCAGGTGAACTTTTATGCCAATGACATGGGTCTCGAAGATTTGTGGACGGTGGACTACTTCCCGACTGAGACCTAAGCATTTCCAAGATTAAAAATGATTTCTGGAGTTGACAGAAGTACAGCATTGAGATTATTTTTCTAACTACCTTAAATCCATATGCCCCACCAAATATTTGCCACAGACAATGAAGGTATCAGAAGAAAAAGGAGAGGGTGGGCAAAAATATACTGCAAAGAAATTCCTAACAATTTACAGCCTTGACAGGAGAGAATCAGTTGACTGAATACATATTATTTCCTAAATCCAAATAATCAGCATCTGTTTTCTCTAACATCCTATTTTTAGATTCATGTGCTTCCCTCTGGTAAACACTGGCTTCCTCTCAACTAAGGTGGCAGGTACATTCTGTGCACTTAGTTGCTCATTAACAGTTAGTGGTCCCTGTTGCCTGGTTATGTTTGTTAATAAGCATCTGTTGGTTTAGACAGTAAGTGCCTTGGTTTGGATAATAAATTACCCGCTGATCCTAACTGGAAGATGAACTCTGTGATCACTGATCTGGTGACTGTTTTGGTATCTGTAGTACTATTCAGTTTTTATGTTGACCTTTCGTCTAATCATGAAAACAACTAAATAACAAAAGCAAAAGCCACTATCTGTGCACACAGGGTTTTGAACAGAGGCTAACAAATAGGCCACCCACTTAGGAACCGAGGGAAAAGAGCCCTAAGAGCAGTCTGACAAAGATAACTTTGCTCCAGTATAGATGCTTCTTCCCTGGTATTAAGTCATAAAAGTTGTCTTGTTAGCTTTCTATTGCTGTTTGTCCTACATATCCTGGGTCACAGTCCACACTGGGGAAGCCATGGACGAGTATTACTTACTGGCTTGCTCTGTCTGCTTTCTTATACCATCAGGACCACCTGCCCAAGGGTAGCAACAGCATCCACAGTGAGCTGGGTCCTCCCACATCAGTCATAACGCTCGGAACACTCAATACCTTCTGCAGTCCCAAATTCCAAAATGTTTTGCGTGTCGTGGTACTTCACAAGTGTCGCAGGGCTTTAAGGATCACAGCTCAGTGGAAGAGCACTGGCCGCGCATCTACATCGCCCTGGGCTCTGTTCCCATCTACATCGCCCTGGGCTCTGTTCCCGGCGCTACAGAAACTAAAAACTTGCAAATCTCACTGAAGAGTGGACCATTCCCACTTTGAAATCTTGCTCAGAATTCTACTGCAGGAAATCTAGGAGAGCAAAGCTTCTCTATGGCAGCTAAAGCACAGAACTCAGTCTTAAACCAATACAAAAGTCCCCTTTGCTTTGCCTCACGGAGGCTCATGAAGACCCTCCTAAGGTGGCTCCATGGAATACAATCCGAAAAATTCTGGTCTATGCCAACTCATTTAATTTCCAAGAGGTTCATTTTACTACGTATTACAATAGTATTGTCTGTATTGGTAATTCTCTAACCAAAGTCATAATCATGACCTGAATAGCACACAGTAATTGTCATGAAAGCTCTGAGCACATTTTATAATAAGGACACAAATGCCCATGGATACTAATGATTTCCTAATCTGCACCTAGTGAGCTCAAACATGGTCATCCAAAAGAACTAGGTGTGGAGCCTGAGGTGGGGAGGATTCTTTTGCACAGAGAGAAAGAACTTAAAGCAGATGGAGAATGAGTTGTTAAAATTATTTTTAAAATTAAGACTCTGGAGTCAATGTGCATCCCACTTAAGAATGGCTACCAAGGAAACTACGGAAAATAACAAGGAGATATAAAGATGTTCATCCTAGCCGGGCTGTGGTGGCGCACGCCTTTAATCCCAGTACTTGGGAGAAAGAGGCAGGTGGATCTGCCTGAGTGAGTTCCAGGACAGCCAAGGTTACACAGAGAAACCCTATCACAAAAAACTAAAAATAAATAACAAACAAAAATAAATCTTGCCCTAGCACTGGTGAGTTAAATCTAAAGAGTGTGGACAAAGTGTGGGAGGTGAGAAACCAAGAAAAGATTGTTATTGAGTCAATGGAACCCTAATGACTTGCTTTTGAATCTTTCTGCAACCTCCTTTTGAAACCAAACAAACCAAAAAATAAACAAATAAATAAATCAAAACCCAAAATACACACAGAGAACTTACCACAGAGACTTTGCTCACTATGTCCCTTGCAACTGCTAGGCCTTGAGCAAAAGTCCGGGCTGCGACAAAGGCACGCGTAACCTGGAGCTTCAGTTTCCGAGGGACATCTCCAAAGGGCTTCAGCTGCTCTGTGTACTTGCTCACACATTCCAGGTACTCATCTGTAAAATGGTACTGCGAGTTCACCAGGCGGAACATGCGCTCCAGAAGGCGAGCCCAGAACTCATTTAGCATGTCTCCCAGGTTCACGTTTCCCGCCACGTAGTAGCGCTTCAACTCTACGAAGAGATCTTTAAATAGCTCTGAGTTTTGCATGTATAAGTGGCCATATGTCTTCACAAACATATCATTCAGGGATTTCTCTGCATTTTCAAGTAGTTCTTTGAAGAATTCTAAAAAGAAAACCCAAAAAAGGGAGGGAGAAAAAAATTTAGAAAGGCTGTTTTCTAGTAATTAAATAGCTGAATGAGGTAAACTGAAAAATAATTGTGACATTCAACTGGAAAGTATGTCTGTATACAAAGTGTACTACTTCTGGGAATTTGCATCTCAAATCTTTGTCAATGAAAGGAAGCCTAGGTCACAACGTCATTCTTTCATAGATGCCTACGTCCAAGAGAACGAGAAGGAAAATTTAAATGAGCAGTTTCTCAGGAATCAGTACAACATTCTGAAATCCCTCAACAAAATCGGCAGGCTGGACATGGTGATGCGGCCTGTAATGCCAGCACTCGGGAGGCAGGAGGACCAGGGGTTCAAGGCCAATCTCAGCTACCCAGTGAAGTTGAGGCTACACACAAGACTGTCTTAACAAACAAATGAGCAAGCAAGCAAGTCAGACAAGAGTAGCAGCAGCAATAGTAACAATTAAAAACAAACAAGCAAGAATCAGATAGAAATGAATACAGTATCTCTAAAAGATGAGGTTTCCCCAAAATATTTATTATTAGACTCTAAACCAGCGGCTGTCAACCTTCCTAATCCTGCAACTCTTTAATACAGTTCTTCAGATTGTGCTGACCCCCAGCCATAACATTTTCATTGCTACTTCAGAACTGTAATTTTGCTACTGTTATGAATCGTAATTTAAATATCTGATACGCAGGGTTTCTGATCTGTGACCTCTAGAAAAGGCTGTTCAATACCACCCCACACACACACACACACAAATGGTTCATGACCACAGGTTAAGCCACTGCTCGGAACCAAAGCAAATCATAACCTGAGTTTAGGACAAGTGTATCAAAGATTGTTGTTTTCATCTCTTTTCTTCTTTACTTATCTATAGGACATGCTTGGAAAGTGCTTGGGGGCACAGAACATAATCAAACAGTCCTAGAATCAAGCACATACTTCTGAAAATAATTTCTTGAGTGTTTTCTCTGTGATATTAGTGTAACAGTGGTATTCAACTTGATTTTAGGTTCCTAAAGGTTTAGGGCTAAAGTCCTAATGGTTTGTTCCTTCACAAACTGGGGATTTTTTTTTTCCCACCTCTTTCTACTACTTCTGGTGTTTTGTTTCCAGTGTGTTCTCCAGAATTCCTTCTGCACAAAAACCAAATAAAGAAGCCCATGTGACCTCTCTGGCATTGTTACCAATGTTCTCTCCCTTATGGTGAGAGAGCAGAGTATACAAAGAACTAAGAGAACTGTACTAGGGCTCTCTAGAGGAATAGAACTAAGAAAAATCAGTAATTATAGAGGGGATTTATTAGACTGGCTCTCACAAGCACAGACACTACAAAGTCCTGCGATGGCTATCAACACACTAAAGAGCCAGGGAGACCAGGGTAGTCTAAGAAGCTTAAGTCTCACTGAGGATCAGAGAGGCCTGTGATATAGGCCCAGTCCAAGGTCTAAAGGCCTCCGGGAGAGCTACTGGTGCCAAGGAGAATCTGATGTCTATAAGCACCAGCAGGAGAAAACATTGCCTGGAGAAGCTCATTAGCAAGAGCTAGGCTCCCCTCTTCTGCTGTGGCATTACCCCATCAGAGCCAGCAGCCTATTGGATGATGCTGCCCGCACTAAGGGCAGGTCTCCCTCTTCTCAGTCCACTGGCCCATATGCCAGTCTTCTCTGGAAAGCACCTCCAGAGACACATCCAGAAGGGTGCTTTACCACATCTCTGGGGCCCTTTTAACAATCCAAACAAGGCATCAAAGGAAATGTGTGAGAACCCTAGGAAGTCACGGGAGGAGGCCTTTTACACTCTGCTATATTCCCCTGAAAAGTTCTCCAAGTGCACACTAAGGAGCAACAGCACACCCTATCACCTAGGAACTTGCCAGAAATCAAGCTCCTGGCCCCACCTCACTTACTGAACCAGAAACTCTAGGTGTGGATCTGGCCCTGCGGGACTGCTGTGCCCTCCAGGCAGAGAACAACCTGTTCACTAGTAACCACCAGCAGCCCTGGGGCTGCGGGTAAAGCTTTCGGGGGAGCGGGCATGGAAAGGGGGGTTTCTTTCCAATGAATCACCTCTAAAAAATACTATTGCCTTCCTAGAAACAATGGTTTGTGGTTTCTTGGGGACAAATTTTCTTACATAGGGCTCTTTCAACTATGCGTTAACATAGATCACTAATGCACACAGCATTTTCCCAGAATTTCAAGTGGGGGGGGGGGTGCTAAGGAATCTCACATGTCATCTGGTCTATGTCCTTTACCATGCTTTATCACCAGCATCCTTGGTAAATGGTCCCTGTTGATCAGGGGCACAACATGTTAAGAGGGTTTTGTTAGTACATGTCTAGTATGCTACATGTGCATATTGGGAAAAGAAAGCCTGGCCACTGAAAACAGTATCCAAACCTTATGCCAACCAAGTGCTATGTAAAAAAAAATGCCAACCACCACCACAGGTCCTTCCCTGTCTTCTATTATTTTTTGTCCTTGTTCATAACATTGGTATACGCCAGCAGAAACTGGATGCTAACAATTAGTTGACTTGTGCTCTTGTATTCATTTCATAAGCTAGTCTGACAGCTCAGTTGCATTTCTTTCATCAACAGCACCGACAGTCATGGTTTTAAGGGGTAGGAGACACACAGTGGGGTCCACTGAGCTTAGTTTAATGTAAAACACCTAAAACCGTCAAGACTGATCCTTTAGGCTCCATAGTGCTGGATGTCAAATACATTCTATGCAGAAAGCGCGGGTTTTTTAGACACAGTCTTTCTTTGTAAACCACGCTGGACTCACACTCACAGGGACCTGCCTGCCTCTCCCTCCCCAGGGCTGAGATTAAAGGCGTGCCCCACATGTTCATTAGTTCCAGTCATTCTCGGCTGAAGCTGGCCAGTGGGTGCAGCTGTTTGGATTACAGTTGCTTAAAGCCTAAAAGAAAAATGACCTAACGAGAGGAAAACAGATTTAACAGTGACATATCCCTCTGTCCAGCGTTACCACAGGACTTTACACTGGCTCCCATGACTCACATTTTCTTGCAAAATGTAAGTCTCTGTGCACACGCAAGTATGTGTGTTTACGGCAGCATGTGCTTTAGGAGATTAGTGTGATGCCACATATACACTAAATCCTAATGTATCTCATTACCCAGAAAATTTATCTTCCTGCCTTCACACATTAAAAGACTCTTTTATGTGGCCATTTAAGTTGCAGATATAAAGAATATTTGAATGGGCATGTGGTTAATAAATGCTTGAGAAATTCTATAAAACTAATATAACAAGTTACAACCTCGCAGCTCAATCTCTCCAAATGGCTATGCAATTTGACAAGTATGTACGGAGTGCCTATTATAGACTCAAGTCAAGGAACACGGCTTTACCATGTATCTTCAACTTTCTTCTGCCCAATCAGACTGCAACAAAAATTTCTAGAAAGACAAATTTCCCCTATCCAATTTACCTTTACTACACAGCCACTTTACTCCGTGGTTCTATGATTATACAACATCTACACAATTCTCAAACCTTTACTTCATATAGTGAGTTCTTCGATATTCACCTATTTCACCCTTGAGCCAACAGAACAAACAGGAAATAATGCAGGAGACCCAAAGTCCTTTCTCCTTAGACTCATTTTGTTATGGGGACTATTCCACCTTGTTTTTGGTTTTGCCTTAAAAGGATGGCAGATGTCATGTAAATTCTAATATTCAGACCCAATTAGACACAGTATCAACCAAAGTATAACAATTTTCTATTGGGGTTTTAAGTTTGTATTTGGTATAGTAAACTAGCAATTATCCCACGGGTGTACGTAATTCTTTCATCTCCCCACTGCTCCCCACTTGTCTTTCTATGCATTTTCTCTAGAGCAAGGAACAGAGCACAAAGAAGACATTCAGGTATGGGGTCACAACCATCATTTGTAGCAACTTTCATGAGAGCTTCAATTCTCATCTCCATCCAGGCCCCACCCACCCTTGACATTATTCTTGTTCCTCAGGATCGTGGTCAGATCCTAACTGCTGAAGAAGACCTGCCTAGGCCAAGACACATAGCAATCATCCTCCATAATCGTTAATGAAACCAATTATAATACAAGAGTTGGCTAAGGGAAGCAGCCAAGGGTGGTGTAAACCAGAGTTCCCACTGATCAGAGGCTGAGTTAATTGGAACTTAGAGCTCCTATCCAGCAACTGCTTGTAGAGTCTGCTTTCAGGGAAGCTCCTGCTGTCTGAACGTCAGAGAGGAGGCAGTAACCGAGCATTTGTGAACAGGTTTATTTCTGTAATTCCCCATTTGGAAGCTTCAGTGTACATGCGGTAAGGATCAAGCAGCCGAAACTCCTTGAGCTCACAATTGGCCACAGCTCAGGAGTAGCAATCAGCACTGTAATATGCTATGAGCCTAAAGCAGTGTGAATGGTGGGAAAAGCCTAAGACTCCTACTTAGAGGTTTACACGCCATGGTTGAGAAAATAAAAGCCTCCGACGGCCCGTTTACAAAACAGGCCATTCTCTCGCACCCCACATGGCTAATGCTGGCACAAAGTAATGCTCAATATACATAGGCACTACTAATAATACATGGAGTGACGTTATCGTCACTCCTAGAATTGGTGCCAGCAACCATTTAGAACATCTTTTAAAAGACTGGCTTATGTCTTGCCTAGTGGTGTCGAACATAATCCATCTGGGGGAACAGAAATGAAGGTAAAGCTGTTGGGAGGTCCGCTGAGAAGGCCCTACAGCCTTATAAAACTTGGAGCTGTTTATCCAAAGGGAAATGCTTAACAGCTCTACCTTCCAAGGTTGTGAAACGTCCCAGACATCCATGAGACTGGAAGCAACTACTGGGTGGAAACTGAGGAATGAAACACCATCAGCCATGGGAAGACAGTTAACACTACCTGGAAGGCGGAGTGCTGGAAGCATCGCACACATCTGAAACTTAGGAACTGGGGCGTCTTCCCTCCTTCCT